GCAGCCTATTCAATTTTGTGATAGATTTTACATTCATATACATAAAAAGAGCAGCATCTGCTACAATCATCAATAATCACAAATAGATCACAGAGTAATTGATCAAAGGCAGAATCATCAAGTCAAACAACATAAAGCCTCATAACTTGATCAATTTTGGCATGACAAACTGGACAGTCCCCTTTCTTCTCTTTGATCTTTTTCAAGCATGACATGCATCCAACCATATGACCACATGGAATGCAAGCACCTTCCACCGGCTTATCCAAGCAGATCACACATGTGGAAGATGAAGCATTGTTTTCATCATCTTCCTTCGTTTCAATACTGTTTATAGCACTCCTTTCAATTGGTGGCACAGTGAAATAAACAGGGCTGGAATCTATAGATGGATAGTGAATGGGACCTCCGTACACTGCCTCATCCAAAATTGGCGGAGCTGAAGGAACTGTTATAGAAGGACGTGATTCCTGAGAAGAGCAAGAGACAGCTGGGGCTTCAGTTTGTCCTGTGTGAAGCTGTGCTGCACTGGCATTTGGGTTTGCAGAGGAGCTACCCCAATCATTTGTGGCATCGATTGGGGAAACTTGTTGCCCATGAGGAAGAGAGACACCCTCTACTAAAGCTGTTTGTATAGAAGCATTGATGGCCATAGATAGTTGGACATCTTCTGGGATTGGTGTGTTAGATGCTTGCAAATGGTTGGGCAATGGTGGAGCAGCTGGTGGTGGAACGGGAACAATATTGCTATGCTGTGTGAGAGAGAACTGATGTCAAAATATAAACGATTCAGTATGGATTATATTTATGTAATGGCATGGATCACCAGTTCACCACTTGCTGTGAACCAATAGTTAGGCATTCATTGTGAAACCAAAAAAAAAAAAAAAAGTTGCATGTATAGTATGTCAGATGCACTTGAATTCAAAATGTAAAAAAAAAATGTTTGCAATCCTTTCAACACGAGATCAAGGCAGTTAGCTTGGACTAAACAAAAGATCCAACTGATCAATCATTAACATATTCTGCATTAAAAAATCATATTTAGAATGGCCTAATTTTGATAGCAATTTGAAACAACACAATCGCACTATGTAGAACATGTGCATTGGCCCAGCTCATCACATCTAATGAGCTTTGTCACGTACACACTTAACTTCAGATTTCCCCAATGAAACTTCATTAGTTAAATCCTATGTTGCACCGATACACCTATTCATGAAGGCATGCTATATCTGATACATGGATACACCTCCGATACAACACCGATACGTGATGGATACAGCTTTTCCATATCCAATTAAAATACTATTTAATTTCAAAATTACACGCTTATCCGATACGCGTGTCCGTTGAAAAAAAAAAATCTGAAAAAAAGATCCGACGTATTTACTTCCGCGGCTGCGAGCGAGGTTCCCTCTTTTCCAAGATGGATTTGAGTCTCTTGATGATATGAGAATATTAGAAATTGCTAATCTTTCACTTGATGAGTCTTAATTAGAAGCTATGATATTTATTGAAGATGATATAGAAGTTAAAAGACAAACCACTGAAGAAGCTAATCATATCATTCTTTCTAATGAATAGTTAAAGCTTCATGTGCTAGACAATTTATGTTTGTGCTTTTGTTGTTGTACTAGACATTTAATGCTTATTT